TGCATCACCTCCATGAAACTCAGGGTCAAAGGAAACCAATGCAACTTGCAGCTTATGCTGCCTGCTGTACTGTGAGTAATAAAGTTTCTTGTCTCTGTCCTAGGTAGGACTCTTGTGTCTTCTTCCAGCATTCATGAAACTGCCAGGCTACCTCATGAACTTGCAAGCAGGATAGAATCTCGACCCTTGGTGGTTCCTGACAGAGGTATAATTTACTTATAACAAAATTTCATCCTTTTAAGGTTAATTCAGTGAGTTTTGAAAAGGTTACAACAAAAGTTATAAAAGCACTACCATAATCAAGAAGTGAAATACTTCCATCACCCTGAAAAACTTCTTCATTTCCCTTTGCAGTCAGTTCTCTCCCTCTACCTCAAACCCTGGCAAGCACTGATAAGAATGCTGTACTTTTAGTTTTGCTCTATTTTACTTTCAAAATCAGAAAAATATCTATGTTTTCAATTATTCAGAGATTTAAAAAACAGGAAAAGGAAAGGTACCATTAGATTGAACTCTGAAGAGTAGCCAGTGTAGCCAGATGTTGGCAATGAGAACTAATAGGAATGGAACCACAGACAAAGTTTCTTTGGAATTAAAATAGGAAGGATTTGCAAATGATAGGTCATATAAAAAGTGTAGACAGTATTAATGGTAGTAAATAGCATTGTGGTTCTGAGTATCAGTCCCTGAGACCTAGGGAATGTATTAATAACCATGACAGGGAGAACAGGCAGTATTTGTGGGACAAGGGAAGGAACAAAGATGATTTAATGTCCAAGGGTCTCCTCTTCTGTGCCTTGTTCAGCTTTCCTCTGCCATAGTTAGTTACTCCTTTATCTACATAGTTTTGTTTATGTTTTTGTCATTGTGTGATTACTTTTTATTTTTAGCTTGCAATTTTTGTTTGTTTTAAGGTTACATTGTAAGCTTTACAAAATGCTTAAATAACAGCAATAAAGGTAAAATATAATAGCACTATATGTAGGCATCCTTGAATACTAGTTCTTTGAAGAGTAAAATAATTATATCTTTAGGAAAATAAAAAAGTTTACCTACCTTAGAAAAGATTTAGTTATAAGAAAAAGAAATGAGTTCAAGTGGAGAATATTTTAGGACTAAAACAGGGAATACAATTGAGAATCAAGGTTGGAAAATGAAGTCCTCAGGACCCAAGGCTGACACTATAAAATGAACAGGTTTCTTGGCATTAAGTGACCCTGAGACCTTGTCTACACCCCACACAAGAACCAGAACTAGAAGATCATATGCCAGACCTCCTCCCTTCTTCCCTCCACCTCTCTCCCATCCACATTTCTATGAAACATCACAGTTTCTCACCCTGCTTTTTTCACTAGAGCTACACTTATTTTGCAGAAAAATTTTCTCTTGATTCATGCGTATGTACATGGCTAAAAATGAACTCCCTATCACAGACTCCAAGTGACCAAAACCTACTGCCTGCAATCCTATAACTACTCATGTCTTTTAGTTCAAATTCTCGAGATTGAGTCAGCCCCACCCATGAACTGGTTCCCTGTTGGTCTGGTTTTTATCCTGGGTCCAGTCAGTGTAGCCAGGATCCATGAAAGGAGGTGGCATATGGTGCAGAAGCAGGTTTTCTTGGACTGGCTGTGATGAGCAACTCTGATATGCATCCTTCTGACTTTTTAGTTAAAAATGTATAGTCTTCTACTTTTAAGAATTTTATAAATCATCTTAGAAGTTAAAGTGCATAAATTATGTTTCATAGATAATGTACTTCCTTAGAATTACATGAATGAAAAGGTTGCTCAGGGAAAATACTTTGTTTTGGGGACTTCCTTGAGTTGGAAATCATTAAATTAACATTTTCCAAAATGTCTTCTGCAGAATATTATTCCCTGACAAGAGGTATTTAAAGATAGATAGAGTATTGTGAACATTATAGACCCAATAATTTTAAGGAAGAAAAACAGATAAAAAATCAATTGAGACTCTTTTCTGTAGAATTTCTCAAAACCTGTAGTATGCTGATGGGCATTTTGGATTTTAGAGGGACACAATATAAAGCTTTAACTACGGACCCTTTTTATCTGGAGTGTTTTGTGGGGTCTTGGAATTTGACATCACACAGAATTGGAGGCCTGACTTAACCAAACCGTGTATCCCTTGCTTTCTCTGGAACCCAGTGCTCTTATTTTAATATTTTAACTTAATCACACTATCCAACTCATACATAAAAGTCATATGAAAAATACTGTAGGAAATTTAAATCCACTGAATTTCCAAAAGGCCATAGCAGATGGCCCCAGCTATATACAAATCAGTTTTCACAGTCTGCTATTTATTGTGCAGTATTTAAACTTAACTGTAAAACAACAGAAAAACAAAATAGATTAATCTTGCTTGCACACTTAAAAACAGCTATCTGTTTGAGTTGGGGTCTCACTCTGTTCACCAGGCTGGAGTGCAGTGGCACAATCAAGGCTCACTGTAGCCTCGACCTCGTGGGCTCAAGCGACCCTCTAGCCTCAGCCCTCTGAGTGCACCAGCACACTGTAGAGACCAGGCATTGTGGGAGAGAACCAGACAATGTGGGAGAGAACTTAGAGAAAGATCTCAAGAGTGCTGTTCTGATACTACAAAATCCGAACTTGAAATTGGAGCCGTTTTTTAACTGCAATTGGAAGGAATTGAATTCATGCCTATTGCCACTTAACATTTGCAAATGCAATACAAGCAAAATGTATTTGTTCTAGTGTTCTCTAAATTATGTTGCTTGATTGATTCCTTGAGGGAGCGAAAATCTAAATAGACTTAAATCTACTGAGATTTTGATTCAAAAGAAAAGCCTGCCTTGTTTCCGCTTTTCTCTTGTGTGGGCAGTTATAGCCAGCCATATGTTTACTTTGTAAATTCCAGTTGAGGGTGCAATATAAACTGTTTCAATTTGGGTGGAAGTTTTGTCAGACCTCACAAATTAGATTTATATTCTGTTAGGCGTTTGCTAGGATTTTCTGCAGGAGCTGTGGGCAGTTCTGTAGTGATTAAGAACAACCTATTGCATTTTAGGAGTAAATCTTGAACAGCTCCTCCTTGCAATGGAAGGAATGATGGAATTAGAATATCATCATCTGGTGATAATTGTAGTAATAATTGTTTTTGGCAAGAATCATCAGTGGATGCTAAAACTGATAGGTAAGCCAATAAGAAACAATGTTTGCATTGTCTCAAAGGAGCTCCACACAGTGAAGTAACTTGGCAGACACCATCTTTCCCTAGTGTTGCCCACTAGCCAGGGTGAGGGTGAAGGTGGGGGAACAGAGGATGTCCAGGAGAATTTTGTCTCTGTGGTCACACTCTTCATCTACAAGCTCCTTTCCCTTCTTCCATTCCCGAAGGTGAAAAGTCACTCCCTCTGCTACGATAGCCAGTGCTGCCCTCTACGCTAAGAGCTAGATTCCATTCTGGTTATGTTTTGGCTCATTTGTTGCGGATTTGCTGTGTCCTTAGTGCTGGAGATCAGCATTAAATAGGACAAGTCCCAGCCAGCTCCGTGGCTCAAACCTGTAATCCCAACACTTTGGGAAACCAAGGCAGGAAAATTGCTTGAACCCAGGAGTTCGAGACCAATGAAACCTCGTCTCTCCAAAAATAATTTTAAAAATTAGCCAGATGTGCTGGTGCACGACTGTCGTCCCAGCTACTCAGGAGGCCGAGGCTGCAGTGAGCCTTGATTGTGTCACTGCACTCCAGCCTGGTGAACAGAGTGAGACCCTGACTCAAAAAAAAAAAAAAAAGGCAAGTTCTTGTCCTCTAGTATCTTTCAGCAATGCCAGAAACAAATATCTAAACACAAATATCTAAACACTACTATTACAGAATTTTGTGATCCGTGTAGAGGTTTGCACAGGATGTAATAGAAGTGGGGTCAGGGCTGAGCTGGCGAGTCAGTACCAGTAGAACCAAATGGAATCTTGAATGATGGAAAATTATTTAATAATAATTGGTAAAAGCCACACGCAACCTGGACTCCTGGCCATTCCCTGGGGTACCCCTCACTCACATGCCACCATAGAATAATTAAAGGATTAAGGCCAAAACGGCAGGGGGCTCCAGGACTTACTTTTGTACTTTTCCCCTTCCTTTACTGTTACTCTTATCCTGCAAGGAAAGCCAGAGAAGCCCTCCAGGAGGTGTTGCTTGTTCCAGGAATGCATAGAAGTTAGCCAGGGAAAGCACAGCATCTATTCAGTTCTGGATGAGAGGGACTGTGTCACCTCTGATAAATTATGAGTATTACAGGATCAGCTAGTGCTGAGGAAAGACCCTTAAGAGATGAGGTGAGGCTAGATCAGAAAAGGGACTTGCGTGCCCTCTTAAGTCAACTGAGCTTGATCGGACACGCTGTAAAATGCCTTTGAAGAAGTCTAGGGCTGCAACACAGTCAGACTTATAATTTAACATTAGTTATGACATAATTGAAATTGGAAAAAGCATTGAGGGGCCAGATAGCCTGTTTGAAGGCTATTGAAGGAAGTCAGGCAAGAAATGAGCACTTTACTAAAACAAATGCAGTCGTAAATAGAGAAATGGTTAGAATCTAGACATCAAAAAGGTAGAATTAATAGGGCTTTGTGATTGGATTGGAGTAGTGATCTACCTGTTATAAAATGTTTAAATCTATTTCGCATCAGATAGAACAATCTTATCCAAAGTGACCCATTGGTAAGAATTTTGGCTGTGCTTCCAAATTAAGAATTGATCTTGCACAGGAATAATTAGCTCATTCCCAAACGATTGTTTTCCCAAAAATTAGCAGATAGCATTTTGCTAGTCTTTTGGCAACAATAGTGAGGTGACAGAGAAGATTTTGTTCTCTACAGAGTATAAGAAAGTGTAAGAACAGCACAACATTTGCAGTTGTCAGTTCCTGGTTTTAGGAAATTGGCATCCTCCTTTAGCCATCTCTGGCTCATGTGCTGATCTATGTTCCTTGGGTTGGTCTTGTTTTCCCCAGGATGGATCATGAAGCCGCCCAGCTGGAGAAGCAGCATGTGCATGACGTGTACAAGAGCACCGCACCCTACTTCAGCGACCTGCAGAGCAAAGCCTGGCCCCGGGTGCGCCAGTTCCTCCAGGAGCAGAAGCCAGGCAGCCTTATCGCTGACATAGGTAACCCCACGAGTGCCATGTCATGTGAAATGTATTTCATCGAGCCTTTCCTTTGCAGATTTATTTTTGTTCTAATAAGAAACCTGCAGTTGCACCTTTGACCCTCCAGTACCTGGAATATTCATTTGATGCAGAAATTCATAGTCAGTAAGTAGAAAACCTCCTCCAGGTAGGGTGTGGTGGCTCACCCCTGTAATCCCAGCACTTTGAGAGGCAGAAAGGTGGGAGGACTCCTTGAGCCCAGGAGTTCGAAGCCAGCCTGGGCAACATAGTGAAACCTTGTCTCTACAAAAATAAAAATAAAAATAGCCAAGGATAGTGGTCTGCACCTATAGTCCCAGCTACTCAGGAGGCTGAGGCAGAAGGATCACCTGAGCCCAAGAGGCTGTGCTACTTCACTCCAACCTGGGTGACAGAATGAGTCCCCACCTTAAATAAACAAACAAACAAACAAACAGAAGGAAAATGTCCTTTAACCTGATGTGATGTAGACTGTGGGGATCTTTTCAGGGCCTTTGTGTATACCCTCCAACAAAATGGACCTGACATCAATTGAACAAATTAAGATGAAAATGACTGGAGACATAGGTCACAGGTGGCTCAATTTTTTCTGCTTCGTTTTTTTCTTTTTTCTTTTGCTTTACAATGAATGTATATATCAGAGAATGACCATACAAGTGCTGTGAGTATTGTCTTTGTGGTTACAAAAAAATTTTAGCAGAAAGATGGACCACAAGCACAGAATCTGTGAATATTGAGGATGGACTGTATGAATAACTTTGACCTTACAAAAATTAATAATTGTTCCACAACACAAAAATTTAGACAAACATAAAAATCAAGCCAAAAGACCAAGAACAAACTAGAAATATCCACAACACAAAGTAACACATCTGATAGAAATCTAGACAATTATCCTAATCTACAACACATTCGTCAATGTCTGTATGAAACATGCCAACATCCTATCATTGACAACAACTTGGATGAACCTGGAGGACATTATAACTTGATAAAATAAGCCAGACACAGAAAGACAAATACTGCATGATCTCACTTATATATGGGGTCAAAAAACAAATAAAATTGAACTCATAGAAGCAAAGAGTAGAAGAGTGGTTACGAGGGGCCAGGGCAAGGAGGGGTGGGGTGGGAGAAGCACAGCGACTGGCAGGATGTCAGTATAAGGGTTCAAAGTTTCAGTTAGACAGGAGAAATAAATTCAAAAGAAAAATACCAACAACCCAAAAGAAAAGCAATAAAGAATATGAAAAAAAAATCACTCAAATAATGGGAAATACAAATTGCTTAGAAATATTTTGATAAGCCGGGCTCGGTGGCTCAGCCTGTAATCCCACGCCTTTGGGAGGCTGAGGTGAGTGGATTGCCTGAGCCCGTGGGTTCGAGACCCACCTGGGCAGCGAGACCTCATCTCTACAATAAATAAAAAAATCAGCCGGGCGTGGTAGCACATGCCTGTAATTCCGGCTACTCGGAAGGCTGAGGCAGAAGGATCGCCAGAGCCCAGCAGGTCGAGGCTGCGGTGGCCGGGGCGACAGAGTGAGACTTCAACTCAAAAAAAGAAAAAAAGAAAAATACCAACAACCCGAAAGAAAAACAATAAAGAATATGAAAAAAAAAATCACTCAAATAATGGGAGACACAAATTGCTTAGAAATATTTTGATAAACCGGGCTCGGTGGCTCAACCTGTAATCCCATGCCTTTGGGAGGCTGAGATGAGTGGATTGCCTGAGCCCGCGTGTTCGAAACCCGCCTGGACAACTTGGCGAGACCTCATCTCTACAATAAGTAAAAAATTAGCAGGGCATGGTAGCTCATGCCTGTAGTTCCAGCTACTCGGAAGGCTGAGCGGAAGGATCGCCGGAGCCCAGCAGGGTGACAGAGTGAGACTCCAACTCAAAAAAAAAAAAAAAAAAAAAGACAAAGAAATATTTTGATAGATAATCTACTTACGTGGTTCAGTAACAATAAAACCGAAAAAGTACAGAAGGATGCAGTGTGCAAAACATCCTCCCATCCCAGCCCCTGGAACCATGTAGCTCACACCAGAGGCAGCTGATGCTCTTAGCTTCTTGTATGATCTAGAGATATTTTACGTATATATATTTGTGCCTGGAGGTGTGTGCATGGATGGGTTTCCCTGTTTTGAGTACAAAAATGATAGTATGCTGTTAAAAACAATTATGCACCTAACTTTTGTTACTGTTTTATATAAAAACAAACAATATATTTTGCTTTTAATATGTTGTAGCTCACTGCATGTATTTATGATAGAACTGCCTAGTATTAAAGGCTGTTTAGCATTCTATGCTAATAGGGCCATATTAACAGATAATATATGTTGTTGGCTGTACTTTGCTACTACAAATTGTAGTACAGATAATATTCTTTAGATACCTTTGTGCAAATCAACAATTAGATCTGTAGTGAATATCTTCATGTCCATTTGTCTCTTCTGAATTCTGTACAATTTACATTTTTTACTGTTCAGCAAATGAATAGTAGTATTTTGATCACAAAATGAAGGTTGTCTTTTAAAATAAAATAGAAATTAAAGAAGAAATAAATGAAAAGGAAAGAAAGATGAGAAAAAAATGCAGTGTGATAATATGACTATCTCCAAAAGGAAATGATTTTTGTTTCTAGGTTTTCCGCTTAGTTCAAGTCATCAACTGTATGATGGATAGACGATAGACTTGATAAAATGTTAAAAATTCTTTTTTCATTTAAATTCACATTTTAAAATGATGACATCAGAAATGAATGCGGAATAAATCAAGGGTGCTAGAGCACTGGAGACATTTCAGGAGCTGCTTAAATCTGAAAAGACCCCAATTACTCTTTATTACCTCTATATTACCAAACATTCTCTGAACATTTCTTTCTAGCTCTAATGGTCTATGCATTTGTGTTTATTAGTATCTTTGAAGTAATGTTCCCTTTCATTTCTCCTAATGTCTCTCTCAAGCCAATCAAAAAAATCAAATGAATTTGCAAGGTTATTTTTCTTAAAACAGGACTATCACCTTTGAAATGTATAGTATTTCAATGTCAAAATAGTGTGTGAATTATATTTTCCTCATGAGTGACCTCAGATAGTGGCTCATTTTTCTCATAAGCATTATTAGGGACAGTGGCTGTGAGATCAAAGATGTTTCTAAGACTCCAACCATTTACATTGAAATAATAACATTGGAAATCTTATTTTTTATTCATACACTCTCCACCATCTCAGCTGGCACCAGTGAAACTTAATTTTGCTTTTATTGTCTCATAATTTTGGAAAGTGCCTATTAGGGAGGAGTTACTAAAGAAATGTCATGATGTATTTCAGAGACAGCAAACTAATCGTCTTTAAACTGTGGTAGATACTTTTTCAGGCAGAAAAATCTGTAGTTAATGCCAGTCAGTATAAATACCAGCTCTAATAACTTACTTAAATGTTTCTGGAAAGGAATTAGATTGTATGTCTGTGATGGAATATAACACTAGGTACTAGATTGTAGAAGGCTTTGTTTCAAGGTGGTTACCTATTTCTGTCACTACCCTCTTTATCATAGTATCAGTTAGGGATGACCTATCCAAACCTTTGAACTGTGTCAATTCTGAATTATTTGGGTCTCTGCCACTGGAAGGTAAATGTCAAAAATAGTCTATTTAAGGGGAAAAAAATGTTCTTGGTCAAGGTGTATACTAAATCCATAGAGATCATTTAAGCTGAGCACTGACAATAGATTGGATGAAAAGATGTTTAAAATGCTTTTTTCATCCAAATTCAAATTTGAAAATCATGTTTGATTATATGAATTATTTTATCTATTGCCACAGAAAAGTTGTTGACAGTAGTTTGTTTTATATAGCTAGCAAGAGGTAAGAATCTTTAGAGAGACAACAAGAGAATAAATGCCATGACACACATCTATGCGTAATGAAATATGTTAAAATAAAAGGACTGCACATTGTCTGTCCCCGGGGTGCTAGAATGATCATTCTTGTCATGGGCAAGCTGACATGTTTTGGTGGTACTGGTGTGCTAAACCTGTGGACATTACCTCATTAAATATTCAATAAATAGTATTTGTTTCCATTTCCTTTTCCTCTTCTACTCTATATGGAAATATGTAAGTACTCTGAGACGGCTTTTCTTTCACTTGTGTGACTACCTTCTGTCTCTTTGTTTGTTAAAATAAAGTAAGTTTTTTTGTTGTTGTTAAAAGACAAATTACCTATTTTCCACTTTCCTTTAAGGATAGCATGTAACACAGGTTTTTCTCTTCTAGGTTGTGGGACTGGAAAGTATCTCAAAGTAAACAGCCAGGTACATACCCTGGGCTGTGACTACTGTGGGCCATTGGTAGAGATTGCCCGGGAGAAAGGATGTGAAGTCATGGTATGTGACAACCTTAATCTCCCCTTTAGGGATCAGGGCTTCGATGCCATCATCTCCATAGGAGGTAAGGCAGCCAGATCACATGTTCACCCTTTGTCCTGAGAATAATTTACATGATTGAGGCCACTTTTGTGACTCAGCATTCACTCTGTGTAGAAAGGTCTATGTAATTCATTTTATCTCATTTTTGAAAGCATTTCAACTACTTGAGTGATTTGACTAATATAAAATGCACTTACGGTACATATGATTGTTTTAACTGCTTAAACATTCAAACTGTTATTGTATTCTTTTTGGTAATTCATTCTAGTTTCTTTTACTTATGAGTAAGAAAGGATTGGAGGAATCTTACTCATTGAAAATAGTGTTTCCACAGAAATGAAGCCAGATTCTTCCAACATGAGGTAGATTTTAAGGAGTTATATTACCCTTTTCAGGCCAAAATAGTGCCCTTTTTAAACAAAGAATTCTAGAACGAACACACTGAATGCCACCTGGACCAATTTGCCACTCACTGGTACTCAGGTTCCTGGAGGAGATGAATCCCACTTGGTCCCAGATTTCTTTCTTTCTTTTTTCTTTTTTTTATTCCACTCTGCTCTCTTACTGCCAAAGATTGTTCATTAATTTAGGGAATATGTTCCTTATATTCTCCCAAATGTATGCCCAGAAAATACTCATACCAAAAATTGAGACAGAAAAAAAATCTATTCCTGAAATATGCACGGGTAAGGAATACATGTATCCTAACACCTAGTATGTTAGCCATATTTAAATATGCTAGGAAACTTGATATTTAAGGAAATCCTATGACAAAGATTCTATGACAAGAATTCCTTTAAATGGAAAACATCTTTTCCAAAGCTAATCTCCTGCACCAGTACAATTTTTAAAAATTAATCAATTTGAATGTAAAAAACTTTATCAAAGCAAGATGATCTTATATAGAACTGACTGCTGAATATGACAAAAATACAAAATGAGACTGTCTGCTCTCTCGTGAAGTATAGAGAGATGGATGCGTTCAGCATTCGATGGGGGCTTATCTTTGCATAGTGAAGGGATGCAGGCTTGGATGCCATAACCTTGGAACTAGTTAGGATTGATAAGGAATAGTTGCCATGGAAACGTGCTCTATGATAGTCTTCATTCCAGTTGAAACTGTTAGGTCTATTTTGGTTGTAAGTATTAAGAGAATTGTCTTAGTCTGCTCAGGCTGCTATAACAAAATACCATAGACTGAGTGGCTTAAACAACACACGTTTATTTCTCATAGTTCTGGAGCTTGCATGTTTAAGATTAGGGTTCCAGCAGGGTGAGGTTCTGATTGGGACCCCTTTCCTAGCTGGCAGACGGCTTACTTCTTACTGTCATCTTCACATAGGATTCAGGGGACTAGAGGGAGAGAGAGAAAGCAAGCTCTTTTTTTTTTTTTATGTTTTTTGGAGACAGGGTCTTGCTATGTTGCCCAGGCTGGTCTTGAACCCCTGAGCTCAAGCAGTCCTCCCACCTCAACCTCCCAAAATGCTGGGAATACTGGTGTAAATCATCACACCTATCTGGTCTTCTTTTTTTTTTTTTTTTGAGTTGGAGTCTCACTCTGTCGCCCAGACTGGAGTGCAGTGGCCACTCCCGGCCACCGCAGCCTCGACCTGCTGGGCTTCGGTGAGCCTTCCGCCTCAGCCTTCCAAGTAGCTGGAATTACAGGAGCATGCTACCATGTCCAGCTAATTTTTTGATTTATTGTAGAGATGAGGTCTCGCCAAGTTGTCCAGGCGGGTCTCGAACCCACGGGCTCAGGCAATCCACTATCTGGTCTCTTATAAGGCCACTAATCCTATCATGGGAATCCCACACTCATTCCCTCACCTAAACCTGTCAGAGTTCCCACCCTCCTAATACTATCACATGGGGATTAGGGCTTTGACATATGAATTTTGGAGGACACAGACATTTGGTCGTCCATAACAAGGAGGGATTCTTGTTGAACTAAACAACACTATGCAATGCTTTGAATCTTTAGTAGAAGAAGGTTTTGGTATGATCATTTTATCTAAAGAACTAGAAATCAGAGAAGTGTGTGTACTTTTTACTCTTCTTTTGTTTATATTAGTTTTAGATGTTCAAGGCTAACTACATCCAGGCCATCCCATTGAGCCACTGTTGGGAGAAGGGGAAATCGACCAGCCTTCCTACTCTTAGGCAATATGTACTCCATGAGTACCTGGTTAAGTTCACCTGTTTTCAGTTTACATCTCATGCCCTTTCTCCCAAAGAATACAGAGAACATCTGATTGCTATCTTCTAATTAAAAACGCTTCCTTGAGTGGAAAAATCACTTTTTTTTTTTGAGTTGGAGTCTTATTCTGTCGCCCAGACTGGAGTGCAGTGGCCCGCTCCTGGCCACCGCAGCCTCCACCTGCTGGGCTCTGGCGATCCTTCCGCATCAACTTTCCAAGTAGCCGGAACTACAGCCACACACTACCACACCTGGCTAATTTTTTATTTATTGTAGAGATGAGGTCTTGCCAAGTTGCCTGGGCAGTCTCGAACCCACGGACTCAGGCAATCCACTTGCCTTGGCCTCCCAAAGTGCTGGGATTACAGGCTGAGCCACCGAGCCCAGCCTACATGTGTTTTTATAATCTGTAACTATGAACTAACGTGATGTGGTTATTTGCAGTTAGATTTCACATGTAGAACTATGTTATGATAGCTGGGCATGTCAGTGTGCATCTATAGTCCCAACTACTTGGGAGGCTGAGCTAGGAGGATCACTTGAGACCAGGAGTTTGAGTCCAGCCTATGCAACATAGTGAGATTCCATTTGAAAATATATTTATTAGCCAGGCTCGGTGGCTCAACCTGTAATCCCAGCACTTTTTCAAATAGATATATATAGATATTGTGTGTGTGTATATATATATATATATATATATAGAGAGAGAGAGAGAGAGAGAGAGATTCAAATAGATATATATAGATATTGTAGAGATGTCATCTCTACAATAAATCAAAAAACTAGCCGGGCATGGTAGCGCGTGCCTGTAATTCCGGCTACTTGGAAGGCTGAGGCAGAAGGATCGCCGGAGCCCAGCAGGTCGAGGCTGCGGTGGCCGGGAGCAGTCACTGCACTCCAGTCTGGGTGACAGAGTGAGACTCCAACTCAAAAAAAAAAGAAAATATATTTATTTATATATCTATTTGAAAAAGAACTGTGTTGTGAGAATTTCAATAGATGATCTCTCTTATATTTGTATGTATTTACTTCCTTATTTAAAATTTTATATGTTGGTACTTTTTACTTATCTCACCAGAAATAAATATATATGTCAATATATATATATTTTGCTTTTCCATGTCTCTTAATAATAATGTAAGAGATATGCATCACATCTAGTAATACATTCATTATGTTTTACTGACAGATTAAAAAAAGAAACATGATATTTACTTACCTTTGTAATAAACTGACAAAACTCCAGGAAATTTTGGCAACATATTAAAAGTGCCAATCAACAATATGCGTCACACCAGTGATTCTCAACTGGGGATTACATATCTCCTCTCCCTTCATCCCAGGGACATTTGGCAATGTCTGGAGACATTTTTGGTTGTTATAACTGGGTATTTGTATATGTGCTAATGTCATCTAGTGGCTGGCCCCCCATAGTTAAGAATTATCTAGAGGGAAAAGCCCATTCTACTGTTGTGGAAAAGCCCTGCTTTATGTTAAATCCTTAAATTCTGAATGTCTACAGTCAGAAAGAGGAGACATATACACTTGAAAGTTAAATATCAATAAATTGTAAAATATCAAGATAGAACCTTCAAGGAGATCTTGGCCACACGCACAGTGGCTTACACCTGTAATCCCAGCACTTTGGGAGGCCAGGGTGAGGGGATTGCCTAAGCCCATGGGTTCAAGACCAGCCCAGGCAACTTGGTGAGACCTCATCTCTACAATAAATAAATAAAAAAAAAAAATTAGCTGAGCATGGTAGCATGCGCCTGTAGTTCCAGCTACTTGGAAGGCTGAGGCGGAAGGATTGCGTGAGCCCAGCAGGCCGAGGCTGGGGTGGCTATGAGTGTGTCCCTGCATTCCCGTCTGGGTGACAGAGTGAGACTCCAATGCAAAAAAAAAAAAAAAAGAATATGCATTTATATGCATCTCTAGTACATCATATATGTAATGAAGAATCTTCATTTGTACACTTTTTTCTTTAAAACATTGGCTTAAATGTTGTTATTTATTAAACATTAAATATAAATATAAAATATACTATAAAAGATTCTGATATTTTCTATGAAATTATATTATTTCAAGTGATTGGAAATTAATCATTACTTATTCACTTATGAAGGAGTGAATATAAAAACATTATGTCTAAAAAAAATTATTTTGAAGCCAAATAACCCTGAAGTGTTGAAAGCCTATGAGTATACTGAAAAGAAGCTATTGTTTTAAAATAGTCCCATTTTAATTTTTTTTTTCTTTTATGGTCCCCCAAAATAAATACTGTCAATTATCATTATTCACAGTAGTTATGATCTCTAAGGTCTCTGAGAACACTAAATTAGTGAATTCAGTGGAATACAGGGTGTTAGGGGGAATACAAGATTGAATTTCTATGAGCCTCTGGTCTCAACATTTGTGTTAACTGACCAATATATAACCTTGTTTTATGTGTGATGTGTGTTTTTGTTTAAAGACACTTCATTTAATTTTAAACTCATGCCAACAGTACTATAACTCACGCCTGAATAAAGCCTATCTAAACTGTGTGTTTTCTCCATAAGGCACATCACAACCTTCTAGTATTTAAGAGCACTAGACAATATCCAGCACTCTGCTTGGAAGCCATTTTAAATAGTGAAATCACCAACATGACTCAAAAAAATGCAACAAAAAAAAAGTGGCTCTAAATAGACCATAAAAGAACACTTGCTTATAGTATTAGAGTTGAAATAAGAAGGAAGTGTGTTGTTTGTTCCACCTCAGCTGGGAGGATGTGCTTTAGGGATGATCGAATTGCTCCTCTGCACGTGACAAATGACCACAAAAGCCTGGGAGTATTGGGTTTAGGGATTACAAATAAATTTTAGCAAGAGGGCAAGTTTGTAAATACAGCATCTGTGCATAGTGAAAATGGACTATTTAGAAAGTGCACCCATAGACGTTCTAGAGTGAATTAGGTGCAAGTTATGACAGCTGTTAACAGCCCTGGTCAGTCACAAATATGAAGTTAATGTTTTGCTGAGTCTTTCTCAGTTCTGACTCCTATGCCACCTTAGCTCTGTGACTAGGATACTACTTCTAGAAAGTATGCTTGCAAGTGAACCATAGTAAAGGGTTCATTCTTTGGGGGAATGGTAGGGAGTAGTCTGAAGCCAGGTAGAATGATTGGTCAAAGATCACAAAACTAGTTACTAATATATCTAGCAGAGTCAAGTACTCTGGTGTCCTTTTCCTCAAACACATTTTACCCTCACACCTCTGGCTTCCTTACACTGCTGTGTGATAAAGGTACCAAATTTTTGTGCTGTTGATGGAAATGAAAACCTGATCACAAAGTGTGCCTGTGAAATGATCTTTCTTTGACAGGAACCTCATTTTAGACATTTATTCTGTTTCTGTGGCAGATAAACTACAAAGATTACCTTACCTTGAGTCACAACTAACAGTTGTAATATTTTGATCCTTAGAGGAACAATTTCAACCTCCATTTCTGCCCTCACTACCCATATCAAAGCAGGAATCTCCCAGTATTGCTTGGGATTACTTTTCTCCCTGAGATATGTGGTAGACTTGTGTGTGGAAGAATAATTTGCTGGTTTCACTCGACACAGTACTGTGATTAAACTCCCCCAGGAACTGACTAGCACTTTCTGTATATTGTTAGATACAAATATGCCTAATAACACACAACTTGATAAAGGCAGTCTTGCTTGCATCTCACTTTGACTTTGCAGGGATTGGAAGTAAAATGATGAATTATAAGTTGATGTTTTAAAAATAGACAACTATTTTGACATTTTAAAAAATAAGCAGTCATTTGGATTTCTGCTGGGCTGCCTGATATTTGCATTATTTGAACAGAAAATTGATCTTTAATAGTTTTCTCTACTTCTAATGCTTTATTAATTTTATTGACACTGATTAGAAAAGTCAAATCTTCATTGCTTTAGAAGTATCAATTATTCATTAAAGCAAGGAATTATTTCATAGAATTCTACCAGGGAACAATTAGTATCCCCTTGAAATTTTAGAAATACACACTGGCCATCCTTCTGGTTAAGAAAATTTATAGGTTTTGGGAGCTGGAAGAGACTCACGGATTTATGAATTCTAGGCTTCTTACCATGAATGAATAAACTTGAAATCTGTAGAATTTAAATAACTTTTCCAAGATCAGTTGTCTAATAAGTATTGGAACCAAAGCTAAAACAGTATGTTTCTCCTAAAACCAGGCCTGTGTTATTTCTACCTCCCTGCCACAGAGGAAATAAGAAGGTTCAACTCTATGTCAAAATTTCATCGTGGTTATATAGAGAACGCTGGTATGTAACTGTGTATGCTTATGTGTGTGTGTACACATTGAGACCTAGTTTCTTCTCTTTCAGTCATACATCACTTTTCTACAAAACAAAGAAGAATCAGAGCAATAAAAGAAATGGCCAGGGTTTTAGTTCCTGGAGGCCAGCTGATGATTTATGTTTGGGCAATGGAACAAAAGAACCGTCACTTTGAGAAGCAAGATGTGCTTGTCCCATGGAATAGGGCCCTGTGTTCCCAGCTCTGCTCAGAATCCAGCCAGTCTGGGAGGAAGAGGCAGTGTGGACATCCAGAAAGAAGCCATCCCTATCCTCCTCCTTCCTCTGAGTGCAGCTGTTCTGTTTGTTTTAAAGAGCGATGGGATTCAAAGCGGTCCCACAGCCTGGACTATGCTCCTGTCATGGCGAGAACCTGCTTTGCAAATATTTCTCAGGAAGGCCAGGAGGAATATGGACTCTATAACACATTAGGAAAATCATTTCGTTCATGGTTTTTCTCCAGATCTTTGGATGAATCAACTTTGAGGAAGCAAATTGAAAGAGTGAGACCCTTGAAAAACACAGAAGCTTGGGCCAATAGCACTGTAACAATCCAGCCTTCCAGGCACTCTAGTTTAGACTTCAATCACCAAGAGCCATTTTCAACAAAAGAGCAAAACTTAGATGAGGATGTGTTTGTGGAAACTTCTTCTCGAAAACACTTAGAGTGGCTGGGGGCACCAGGCACTATGAAGCATTTAAATGGTGACTATCAAGGAGAAATTAGGAGAAATGGAGGGGGGAATTTTCTGGAGAGCAGGAATACTGATGAGTATTATAGACATGCAGGAGACTTAGAAGAAGGAAGCCCTTCTGCTAGTAAAATATTGGGAAGGATTTCTGCAGTCAATTCCATGGATTCCAACTCAGATGACACAGTTTCTGTGGAAGAACAGCAGCCCGACATTCTGGACTCCAGAGCCTTTATGCGCTACTACCATGTGTTTCGAGAAGGTGAGCTCTATGGCCTACTCAAGGAGAATGTATCCGAGCTCCAGATTCTCAGCTCTGGGAATGATCACGGCAACTGGTGTATCATTGCAGAGAAAAAGGAAAACTGTGACTGACTGAATCATTTTAGACAATTCCTCAAAAGTTGAACCACTTTCTTTTCACTAGGTTTGATCTGGTTACCTGAATTTGCATTCAGTTTCATTATTTTTTGATCCGTTTATGCTTTGGTCTGTAGAGACTATGCATTAATTGATCTTTAAAATATATATATATTTGGGTAAGCTCAGAGCCTGGCACTGAAAGCACCTGACAAAGGGCATCGTGTTTAGATATTAATGTAAAAGATCTGGTGAAATATAGAAAAATATACTGCAGTGCAGTTTGGATTTTTATTTTCCCTTGAAAGATTAAATTCTTGTAAGAATACATGTATATTGCTTTTCAGTGTTATACATTGATTTTTAAAGATTTTGCTGTTCAATATGCCTTTAAAACACAGTATTTTTATAAAGTGAGGGGGTAATTTCTGGTTCTCAGGTTTTACTTTAGATCAGTCTGTAAGACAACAGGTAAACCCAGTCCATTGCACAAATACATATTGAACCATGTGATGAGTTATTATGTAACAAGGTCTTACTTCTACTCAAAGTCTTCAGGAAAGTGAGTGATGGTGGAGAGAACCAAGAAGAGTTACAAGAACTTTTCTAATTTGTAAGCAAACTTGCTTCGAGGTACAATGACTTACAGTAATAAGGTGTGTGTGTGTGTGTGTGTGTGTGTGTGTGTGTGTGTGTGTGTGTGTGTGTTTTAAGATTTGAGAACAGTTCAAGCTTAGGTATACAAATAGCCATTATGTGGGCACCCTTGTTGATGGTATGCCCTCCCCTCTCCTGGCAATTTACCACTACTGCCAAAGGAACAAGATATTCAATGTAGCTTAGAAGATTTATAAAGGCACTGTTAGCATGTAAGGTGTAGGGTATGCGGATACTGGGAGTTGTTGCAAATACCCAAGTGAAATGTTTCCAGCCTTATTAGAGCCATGAATATCCAGTTAGGATAAGGCCAAGATTGACTAGGGAGGAGTTTTCATCAAGAATTATGCTTTTCTTATGAATTAAAGGAATATATAGGGAAGGAGAAGCTAGCTGAAGCACTGTTTGGTTTGGGCTCTGAGGACAAATCGATTGTTAGGGTGCAGGATATTCAGCTTTGGTCGAGGCAGGACTGGAATTTGTTGTTGGGTTCTTTAAAAATAATATCCAGGCATTATTTTATTGAAGGCAGCCACATTTTATTTGTTATGTTAAGGATGTAGTTGGTATCAACATCTATTAATTAAAGGTTGAGTTTCTATCACTTTGTAAAGAAATTAGCAGATGGAGCATTGTGTGGTCATTGCATCTATGTAGATTTAACCATGGTCTGTTTAAATCTATGGGTCCAGGCTCAGGGGCTCATGCCTATAATCCCAGCATTTTGGGAGGCCAAGTAGGGAGGACTGCTTGAGCCCAGGAGTTTGAAACCAGCCTAGGCAGCCTAGTGACACCATATCTACAAAAATTTTATAAAAAATTAGCCAGGCATGATGGTGCTCGCCTATAGTCCCAGCTACTCAGGAGGCTGAGGCAGAAGGATCACCTGAGCCCAAGAAGTCGAGACTGTGGTGAGCTGTGATCATGCTACTGCACTGCAGCCTGGGCAACAGAGTGAGACCCCAATTCAAAAACAAAAGATCTATGTCATGGATCCTGAGACAAATATAATTAGGACAGAACTAGGAGAAGCCAAAATGAGTTGACCCAGGAATATGAGAGTTCCTTCATGAGGAGAAAACTGACATTTGACAAAAGACTTCTTTATGGACCACTGTAATCCTGGATAAAAATCCAAGTCTGGTTTTAATTTTTTCACTAAAATTAACTAGAGTAATAATAGATTTCATTTGTGCTTGAGTTCTTTTTTCGTTCGGTGATTGGGCTGTAACTTGATGTTACTTTTGAAGAAACTTAGAGGATTACTTTAAAAGTGTATCTGAAAATTATAACTGTTTTGGCTTCAGAATAAGATTATGTCATCACCATTGTGGTAGATGAGGTTGTCTGGTGAAAATGATACGTATGATTTATATTGTTCAGCACATATTTTGCATTAGAGGAACAAAGAAAACAGAAGTGGAGTATAAATTAAAAATTAATTTAGTGTCTTCCACTTTTAAAATTAGTTCATTAAACAATAAGTGGCTTTCTTGATAGAAAGAACAGATTCTCAGTCAAAGATGTTCCTACAACTAGGTCTTGATGGCCTTTTAATTATGAATGGATTTTTTTTTTCCTGAAGCCTGTTGTCATATATAGCTTTAATTTTGGCCTTACTGCTAGAAATCTGTGCTTGAAGTCATCTTTCCTTAGTGGTAGCCTTCTTAAAGGTCATGCTGTGGGGGAATTCAGTTTGTTAGACTGTGTCTGAACAGCTTTTGAGCTAACCTGTATGAACAGCCTTTTACACATACACACACACCACTTTGTATAAAGTGATTCTCTAGAACAGTTCTTGGGGGAGAAAATATTTTCACACAATTTTGCCAGGGTTGTAAATGAAACACCATTAATAATAGTGGTCTTTTGCTCTTTATCTGCTGAACACAAGAATCAGCGCACCCAGACATTATTTTATACATAAATATTTAACAAAGTAGTGGTTCTTTGGGATAATCATGTGAAAAGCACTCTGACATTTAACTTCTGCCTTTGGATTGTAAAAAAAAAAAAAAAAAAAGCCATTGAAGAGCCAAACTAATGAAATATCTTGATCATTTAAAAAGCGTGTTCATCTTCAGGAGTGTCCTCAAAAGGAAATACAAGTATAAATTGAGTATAAATGAAGACAATGTAATTGTGTTGAGTCCGTGTTGCCTTGCTTGATTATAGACTTTACTTATCTATTTGAAGTAATTTGAAAACTTTCTTCATTATTAATACTAGATCACACGGTCTTTCTGGTTTCTTCTTCTTAACTTGCTGGCATCAGCAGAGTCCCTCTTTCTGAAGTAGAGGGGAGAATTCGGGGGATCATTGGAGCATCCTTAAAACTCTTGCTGGCATCCTGCTGCATCATTGACCTATTTAAGGAATTCCATGTAACCCTCACCTGATAATGGAAGAAAGTTCATTAACATGGACAAAGAATAGAATCCAAATAATGGTTTAGTGGGAACCATGCGAGTGGCCTATTTCAATTATTTTTTCAATGGCCAGTATAGTGATGAAATGACACCAGTAGGTCATGGTAACGAACAAACTACCTACACAAATATCTGGGAGTGTCTTATTGGTTTGGTCCTCCTTTCTCACCACACATCCCTAAGCAGAATAGTTTCAGTTTTAGTTGCTCGCTTGCCTTTCTGTTTCCTTTTCAATTCTACAGCCCAAGAATTCCTCTGTCTTTTAACTGTCTATCAGCTGAATGGGAAAAAATTAGAGACTCGAGAGATCAAATAATCCAAATGTAAAGTAGCTAAAAACATCCGTGTACTTATATATTAATGACCACAAAAAGAATAAGCATTGCGCATTTCTTTAAATAAATAAATATATATGAGTTTGGAGAAGAACAGAAAAATCTAACCCAATGGTTGAAGTTGGTGGGGGAGATATGCCTTTAAAATGAGATGTGAGAGTGGGGAAAAAAAAAAACAAACGAGCTGTGAGCCCCCAGTGTGAGACTAAGGATTAAACGGGGATCAGCCACAAGTCAAGCAGCTGCTGTCTCGGAAGAACACCTTAAGGCGGGCCTCAGCTTTCTTTTCCTATTACATGGAAAATATGAAACAATAACCATGAACTTCTCTAATATCCAACATTCATTATTTTACTTGTAATCCTCACCACAGCCCTCTGAGATAAGTATGCTTATTGTTCCCATTTTGCAGATTAGGAAAACTGAGGCAGAAAGAAATTAAATTGCTCAAGGTCACACGCATAGTAGGTATTAGACAGCTAGTTAGAGGCAGAGCTGTGATGCAAACCTAAGTTTGGCTCCCAACCTGTGCTCTTAACCACATACCATAAACCCCCACCACTGGGTCCCTATCACTACTAGGCAGATTATAAGAGCCTTTCAAGGTAAATGTGATTCTCCCCTTTATGAATGAGCTTTCAGGAGGTTAAGCAGAGATCACACAACTAGGCAATAATTTGATAGTAATCCCTTACATATATTTCCCCCCATCTTTTATATGCATTGTTTTTCATGTGTAAGCCTGTTTCAATTTGATTTGAATTTTAAAAAGTTATTGGTCACAAAATGCTCGGGGTTATTTTTCTCCACCTCTTCAGCCCTCTAAACATCATACTACTGTTTTCTCACTTTATAAGTGAGGAAATTGAGAGTTACTCAGATTTCTTTTTCACTCCTTTTGTTTACTGAGCCCTGCTGTGTGCCAGATACTTATGACATCAGGCAATGACTCTCTGGGGTCTTGAATGTACACAGGATATTAGAATTAACTGGCCTCAAAGTGCCAAGCTGGAACATTTTTCATATTCATTATATACCTACTACCAAGTTATATTGTTTCATTTGAGAAAAAAATACAACTCCCCCCGCTCCCCTTAAAGAGTCATGGTGCATACTAGTATATTTAAGGCCTGCCTTAAAAGTAAACCTAGGGCTGGGCTGGGTGGCTCAGTCTGTAATCCCAGCACTTTGGGAGGCCAAGGCAAGTGGATTGCCTGAGCCTGTGGGTTCGAGACCGACCTGGGCAACTTGGCGAGATCTTGTCTCTACAATAAATCAAAAATTAGCCAAGTGTGGTAGTGCGCACCTATAGTTCCAGCTACTTGGAAGGCTGAGGCTGAAGGATTGCCTGAGCCCAGCGAGTCTACACTGGGGTGGCTGTGAGCATGCCACTGCACTCCAGCCTGGGTAATGGAGTGAGACTCCAACTCAAAAAAAAAAAAAAAAAAAAGAAGTCTAGACTTTAACTGAGTCTTCCCTGGACATATTAACATCCTCTGGCACAAGTGTTCTGTGGAATATATTTCTGAAAATAATATGACTTGTAGAGGGAATGCAAAGTCCTTTGGACGGCATTCAGGCCCTTCAGAAATAGACTCTACATTATTTTTCAGCCTGATGTTCTGCAGTTGCGCCCAGTATTTTACATTCTGCAATCTATTTTAACAATGCTTTCATAAAATGACATAATGATAAGTAATTATCACATCCCCTAGATATATACTTGAATTTAAAATGCCGTCATTGTAATCCTTCTCCAAAGAAAAATGCATGAAACAGGCTTTGTCCCATCATTACAAACCCATCTGGCAGATGGAAAGACTATGGGAGCGGAAGGGATTCACAGAACGGCAGACCCTAAAACAGGATGTTCAGCCCTTCTTGTCCTGATCTTAATTTGAAGTCATGG